TAATTTGAGGGATGAGAAAGAAGATGCTTAATGATCTACTTTCAATGAACAAAGCACTGAAGTATTCTTATCTGGAATACAATGGGAGAGTCCGTCCATGTAATGAGACTATATGCATCATTCAACATACAGAAGCAACTGCTCTCTTCTTCCCTTTTCTTTCAAATATTACATTGGACTTTTCACATTCCAAATTTTAGGTATAATCATATGGATTTCTTGGAAATGAAATCCTACCTGAAAATGATATGCATATATCCAATACCTTTCTCCCTCCCTCCCTTAATCCATCAGAATTAATGAAATTATCATCTGTTTTGTTATTAGCATGACCTTACTGGATATTTTTTAACATTTCATAGTTGAAAAGAGAGTTGCATACTTTTACGATCATACTTTTTCTGAAACTAGATTTGATATTTAAAACTGTTACATATTTCAAAAAAAAGTTTATCTGCTATAAATTGTATTTGTTTCTGTGCAAGAAAAACTTACACTTGCTTCTAAGTCAGTGTTTTAAAAGTATAAGCAACATGTCAGATTCAAAAGGAAATACAAATATACAGTATATTAATTTTTAAATGTATACTGATAGTTGAGGTTTAATTTTAAAACTATGACTAGAAACAGAATATTTAATCTCACAAAAGTTTATTATAGATAAATTGAAATTCAAAACACTTAAGTATGTACATTTACATATTGGAATGATATGTATCTAGTATGATTGAAATAGGATAATAAAAACATCTATATAGTACTAAAATTCTCGTGTCTGTAACCTTAACTGGGCGAAATGGTGCATCACAGGACAACAGTTTTTGAACCAAGGTACCTCAAATGGACTAACTTATAGAATGCATCCAAAATCTATGACCCATTACTTTCGTGGGACTGAAATTTGGGAAATTTGTGGCCGCTTCAGCACTGCTCTGATGCTGCCCCGCCAGTTAGCCCAGGTCATGTGATCATTATGGGCATATCCCCAACCTCTTTTCTGCCTTCCTCTATCCCCTGCGCCCATTTGGTTGCCAGCAGGGCCCAACGGGTGAGTGGCGATTGGCTCTTTGGAAACAAGGCAGAAATCTGAAATCTCTTAACGGTGGTGGGCATTGAGGGAGGATGAGGGAGTGACCTGGACACCTGCTGGTGAGGTAGGGCTGGCTGGGGGGTGCCAGTGGTTAATGGGTGAGCCCTTTTCCTCCCTCAAAGGAAGGGGCCCTTGGGGACACGCCAGAATGAGGAGTGGGGGTGCAGTTTTCCTCATGTCCACGGCTCCCTTTGTTCTACCACGGAATTGCCCACCAGCAAAGTGGCAGGCAATTCCGTGGATCAGTCAAGGAAGAGGAGGCGGCTTCACAGGGGCTTTCCTGAGGGCCATGAGGGGAAGGCAAATGGTGCAAGCCTACATTATATGTGGAAAGGA